ACTCAGTTGCATTGCCCAGGAGGGTAAAAGCTGATAGGATAATACCAGTTCCACATCACACACGTCAGAGTAACAAATGTCTGTCATTCCTCTCCCTCTTCCCAAATACATATCTCACACACACACACATGCACACCCCACTCACTGCAACACAGTCATATATTCATACCACATGCACATATCCTGCATACTCATGATATTAAATAAATTAATAATGTCTATCAAACATACCCTTTAGAGACTTTGGAAACAGATCTGACAGATGATGCCTCTCTCTGCTCCTGGAATGCCTCAATATATAGAGCTACAACTTTGATTTCTGTTTTTATCTCTCTGTGTCATGGATCTCATGCTAATCTGTGCCAACATAACCTGAGATTTCTCATATGAATGTTTTGTATTACAAAATAATAAGGTTGGAAAGACAAAACTTATGTTCACTATTTTTTGATCTGCCTTTTGGGTTTTGCTTTCTTCAACTTCTTCCTCTGTCTCTCACCCAGTTCTTAAAAGTGTTCTGTGTCTTCATTTCCATTGAGCATTGTTTAATTGACTAGCATCCTGCCTATTACATAAAAAGTTATCCATGATGCCACAGGGGTTTCTCCGTAATAACAGCAAAGGGTTATTATCATTGATAGTAATGACCTTGAAAGATATTTCACGGAAGAGTCGGCCATAGGTACCTTTAAATCCCACTACAAACAACAACCCTGAAGGGAGAGTCAGGGAAGCAATGTATAGTGTCAATTAATTTCCCTTTCAGAGTAATCATTTCTTATAAAAATAATAATAATAATAATAATGAGGTGCTTGGGTGGCTCATCATTAAGCATCTGCCTTTGGCTCAGGTCATGATCCCAGGTCCTTGGATCCAGCCCCGCATAGGGCTCCCTGTTCAGCAGGAAGCCTGCCTCTCCCTCTTCCTCTCCCCCTGCTTGTGTTCCCTCTCTCTCTGTCTTTCTCTGTCAAATAAATAAAATCTTAAAAAATAATAACAATACTGTTATGTGTTAATTAGTTCTGATGGTGTCTCAGAGAGTTAAACAAGGAATTAGAACATATTATAAGTTAGACAAGGAGTTAGAACATACTGTAGTCATTTTAGTAGTGAAAAAGCCAAGGCTTCTTTTTTTTTTTTTTTTTTTTAAGATTTTATTTATTTGAGAGAGGGAGATAGAGCATGGGCAGAGAGAGGAGCAGAGGCAGAGGGAGAAGCAGACTCCCCGCCAAGCAGGGAGCCTGATGCGGGGCTCGATCCCAGGACCCTGAGAGCATGACCTGAGACGAAGGCAGTTGCTTAACCAACTGAGCTACCCAGGCGTCCCAAAGCCAAGGCTTCTAAATACTGAGATTTGGCAAAAGTCATTCAAAAAATTAAGTGGCTAACAGACTATCCTCTTATGACATATGTGTTTGTGTCTTGCCCATTTTCTATTGGGGTCCCTCTCTCTCCTGTTATTTTGTCTATTTATTTCTTTTTATTCAGTACAGGAATCAGTAATATATATTACAAATACCTTCTTCCACTGTTTTATTTTTACTTTCTTAATGGTGTGTTTCCATAAATTAATGTTAATTTTAGTATTATCCAGATTGTCATACCAGTCTTTTCCGTGAGGGTTATTGTTTTGTTTTTCCTGTGTAAGAAATTTTTGCCTAATGATGTGAAGGTCTTTTTCCAAGTTACCTTTCACACTTAGTTCTAAAATCTACCTGAAATTCATTTTTGAGTATGGTGAAAACTATTCCTTCAGTGTAGGCAGTGGAGGTCTACTGTTACTGGCCCTGAACAAATTATGATTCTTTTTCCCTGAAATTTTATTTCAAATTCAAATTTGAAAGACACTTTTGTTTGGTATGAAATTTTGCACTGATGATCTTTCATTTAGCACTTTGAAGATGCCATTGCATTGTTTTTGCCTTCCATTATTTTTGCTGAGAAGGCATCTGGAAGTCCTGTCATTGCTATTTTGATGTATGCTAGATAATTTTATATTATTTTTTAACCTTGGCTTTTAGCAGTCTTTGAACAACTGGCCTGTATGATACTTGCTTTGCATAAATTCTGCTTGGAGATCAGAGCACTTTTAAAACAGTGGTTTGATATCCCATTAATTTGGGGAAATCAGTCATTATATCTTAAATATTGCTTTTGCCACATTATACACTGGATAGACCCTATCTCATATGTCTACTAACTCTTTTCTATATTTTTTATCTGTATTTTATAGTTTCTTCTAATCTAGCTTTCAGTTTACTAATCCCTTCTGTGTCTAATGGCTGCCAAATGTACCTACTAAATGAATCACTTCAATTATAGTATATTTTCCAGTTCTGGAATTTACATCTGACTTTTTAAATAGTGCCTAGTTATCTGATAAACTCCTTTACCATGGATATTCTCCAAATTGGCATCTAATTCTTAAATATATTAATCACAGTTTTTAAATTGTCTCTATGATATCCAGATCTCTAACTTATCTCTACATGTTGTCTCATTCTCTTGGATTTCAGTGATTTGTTCTTGTTCTTCTGGAATGCCAGGTAATTTTTTTATTGAATGCTGGACACTGTGTGTGAATAATTATAGAGACAGCTTGAGGCTCTGGGTGGTTTTCTCTCATTTTGGAAAGGATTTATTTTTGCTTCTGACAGACCAGTAAGAGTGAGCAGAGCACTACTATATAATCAGGAATTGAATTGATTAAAAGTTGGACTTCAGTTTTTTTAAGAGCTGGTCTATATCAGGTTCATCCTTGCCCCCAGAATATAACCCTTCAGGTGCCCCACAGAAGACTTGAGTACTTTTCTAAGCACCTCTTCCTTGGCTAGCCCTGATCTCCAAGTTTTGCCCCACCCCACCACTCAGGCCTCATAAGACATCTGGAGGCTCTGTTCAACTTGTTGGCACATGTGGAATGTCAGACTCACCATGTTATACCTCCTCGAGCTTGTGTGTATTGATGGCTCTTTACTGAGTGAAAATAGTTTCTTAAATAACCTCACCAGTGTTCCTAACTGTTATTGGTAGGAGGGTTATTCTACATCATGATAATTCACCTTAGGCTGAAATCCCTTTCTCAGTATAATTTCAATTTGCATTTCTTTCATTATGAGCAAAGTGAGTCATCTTTCATGTGATTACAGGCCACTTTTTTTTTTTTTATTAACTGTCAATTAAATTTCTTGCTCAACTTTCTACCCAGTTTTTTATCTTCTTAATCTGTATTTTTGGAAGTACTTTAAAGATATTAACCCTTTCTCTATAATAAAAGGTATAAGAATTTTCCTTCAATTTATAGTATTTTTCTTCTAAACATTTCTTATGGTATTTTTTCCATCCAAAAATTTATTATGTTTATATGAAATCAAATATTTCCATTTCTCTCCAATTCTGTTTTGAAGCATAATCAACCAAGATTTCCTGCTCCGAGCCTTAAAGAAATCCATCAATGATTTCTTCTGTAATTGTGCCTAGAGGAATGTGTTGATGAGAAATTGAAAATGGTCCACTTTTTAGGATTAGTGGAGTGAGAAAGAATATGATATGGTTTTAAGTACAGTTGGGAGGTTCAAGTTTTCTTTCCCTTTCCCAACCTCATCCTCAGTAACTAAAGAAAACAACTTATGGGCACAGTTACTTTCACTTGAAGGCTTGGGATCTATTGGTCATTTCTTTTCTTCTGTTATCCTTTTCCTGATTTCTCTCATCTACCTTCATTTCATCAATGTTACTTCTACATTGACATTTCGCAAATACCCACATGCCTATTCACAGTTCGCTTCCTCAGGATTGGATGCAAAAGCTTGTTTGGCATCTCCACTTATATGGCCCTGCCCTTCAGGATTCAAATCTAAAATGGCTTTCTTCACTTCCCTCCACTCTGTTTTATATGTCTTCAAGTACTGACCTTCCTACCATCCATCCATCAGGGTTCAGAGATTGGTCATCTTTGAGTCATACTTCATGACTGTCAGCTTCAGTACATCATTATCAGAGGGCAAGATCTATCTTTGAGGATCCCTTCCTTTGAAGAGATTATAAACTGGACCTTTACCATCCCTGCTTCTTACTCACCAACAGGCACACCAAGTTTAACATACTCTGAGCTCAATACATACTCACGTAATGAAAATGCACCCAACCTTATGCTTTAAAAAAGTATAGAAATAACATCAATTTTGAAATTATAAATTGCCAGACCTTTACCTGTCTCTCTATTTCTAAATGCCCCTGGCCTTCAAGTTGTGAAAACGTAATAGGTATTTAGCTAAGATGGAAGATATTGTCGTCCTTTAGGCTATCTGGAAAATTTCTCACAATAAGAGAAAACAACCCACTTACTACTACCTTTAAGCATATTCTATAGCTTCAGCCACAGCAAATGGATGACACACTGTGCAAAATAGAGATAAATCACAACAGAAATTAATAAAGACGTGATTCTCAGCAATTAAAAATGGCAGCATCTGAGAATGTCTCCTAGGAAGGCATCTAAGCCGTTCATTTTGTGTTTGAACAAAAAAAACCTCACTGCCAGGAAGATAAATCTTTCAGCTTTTAGGCATGCCTAAGGCAAAACAGGTTTTCTTTTCTCCCTTTTCTCTTCAAAGGTTAAGCTACATAAACTTATACACACACACACACACACACACACACGCACACACACACACACACACACACACATTTCCCTAAATTTAAATTGTAGGCTGTTCTGATTAAACCAAGTTTCCCTGCTTTCATGCTACCAGATTTTTAATTTGAGAAATTGTGTATGTATGTATGAGATTATCTCACAAATTAAAGAGAATTTAGATGACAGCGCTAAAGAATTCAGGCAACTCAACCCACTGTTTCCTCCCTTAACCTTTTCTGCAAAAGAAGTTGAATCCCAGGAGTATTTTTAAATTTAAGAGGGCAATGGAGGGTGACAGAACAATTGGCAGTCAGGCTGTTCTAATTCTCTATTAATCAAGGACTATCTTCTTTCTTTCAGCTCAAGGCGAGGACACACCTAGAGTTCCTGTGCAAAGCGAAGGGTCTGGCTACACAGAAAACTCTCCAAGTCCCGATGGTAAAGTTCTGAGCTATTTGAGCTCATGCAAACTACAAATCTGATACATTTTCTGTGTGTAATCTAGGATTAAAGGAGCTATCTGTTCTATGAAGCAACATACTCAGTTAGAACAAGGTAAAGTTCAAAAACCATGTTCTCCTAGGAACTAATAAAATTGGCAGCCTTTAAAAAAACTGATGCGGTTTTATAACACTATGTGCCTCAGTTGTTAATCACACCTCATAATACGGAGGCCATAGTGGGTAATACCAAGGGTAAACTAGACCGAAATCCAGCTGGTGAACTTGATGGGAGTATCTCTTACTTCCACAAAAAGCACTTGCCCGAAGTTATCCCTGCTCTATAGGGACTCCGGGAAACACTCAGGAGAGCCCTGACTTGAGTTTGGGCTAAGGTCATCTTGGACCTTCATCATTTTACCTCACTATATCACTTCAGATGGCTTGGCCAAAAACACAGTGGATCTTTAAAATCACCTCCGAAGTCAGTTTGTAAAAATCTGTCTTTATTCACATCTCATTTTGAAGGTATCTGAATACTCTGAGCCTGAGAAATATTAATATACTGCCCCCACCCCGTATAATGATTCTGGGAATGCTTTGAAATATTACTTGGTTTAAAAAAAAACAATTATTTGTGAATATATGATTTAATAAATATTTGATTCCACTGACCCCCAAAGCTCAAGAGAACCAAAACTGGTTGGTTATCAACTGCTCATATATACCTTGCTGTTTGGTTCATTTTAGCCAAAGAAAAAAAAGCGAATTGCTTTGAATTAATAATGACCTTAGGAAAAATTCAACTGGTAACATCTACTTGGTGAATTTACTTGGTGGGTTGTTTTTTTTTTTTTAAGATTTTATTTATTTACTTGACAGATATCACAAGTAGGCAGAGAGAGAGAGGAGGAAGCAGGCTCCCCGCTGAGCAGAGAGCCTGATGCGGGGCTCTATCCCAGGACCCTGAGATCATGACCTGAGCCAAAGGCAGAGGCTTAACCCACTGAGCCACCCAGGCGCCCCTACTTGGTGGTTTTAAATAGAGTTTTCTGTACTAGGTATTCCACTCTGCTATAAGCTTTTCATCACCTGAATTTCCTCCCTTAATCATAAGCCCTTCCATACAAACAGATTTTTTTTTTTAACTCATGGGTTGCATTACCTAGAAGAATAATGTTTTTCAACCTCAGATCCATTAAAGGCTACCACATGTTAGTCATGCTCAGCTGAACGAAACCTGCCGCAGCCTGGTTGTGACATTATTGTGACCTGGTTCTTAACTAGTTCTCTGCAAAACATGTTCTGAAGAATGGCAGGCCCATAGGATGCTCATTGAATAAAAGGGAAAGAAACATGAAAAACACTAAGATTTAGTCCTCTTTTTGAGATTCTCCATGTATCTTACAGGCTCTCAGAAAGCTCAGCTGTGAAGAAATTTATCAACGTGGTTTACCATTGCTTTTCCCAAACTTATTTCATCATGGGATGCTATTTATTAATAGGTTTTGGAATAAGTGACCCTTGGGTTGGAAGAACAGAGAAAGGATGCTCTCCTATATTTGATTCTGCAGGTTCCCTCACTGAGATGGGTGACCTTACAGTAATTTCGTAGACCAGGCTGGAAAGCACATGCATTATTCTCCTTATACAGGTAGCATTGTTGCATCTGGCCAGTTTACACCTGGGGTTTAGAAAAAGCTCATACATCATTAGAAACCCAGGATAGTTTGCAGGTGGAATGGAGACCTGCTTTTAAAACCTTCTCCCTGAGAAAGAGTTGGATGGTATGCCCTTCAATGTCACCCCCTCTTTCAAGCCTCTTTGGAGTATGAAAACCAGCATCTGCCACTATTTTCCTTTAATCAAATTTACCTGTTTGAGAAAAAGAGCTTGGATTGCTGATTCTGTGCACATAAATGAAGACTACCCGAACAAGAACAGAGGTTACTTATTCAGTTATGATAGCCAGGGTGGCGGCCATTATCCCTTGTGTTGGTGGGCTCAAATGCAGGCAGAAAAGTGGGAAACCTTTAAAGTTAAGACATTGCTTCAAGCACCCTCTGACTCAAGGTTGCTGGCATAGGAAAGCTGGATTTGAGCACACTAGAAGTGGGAGACCGGTTTGGGAACATACCCGGCTTTCCCTGTTTGGTCCCACGTTGGAATCACAGGGCAAACTCTAGTGAAGCCAGCAGACATTGTCCAAGTCCTGACCGTCCTAAGCTGATTGCTACAGAGGATGTGGTCAGGTTGCCCAGGCTGGTAGCCACAAAGGTTTTTCGTAAGTTATATTGTTATATATGGTCTGACCATTGTTCCATTTGTATATTGTCTCTCCCTTTATAATATGCACTTTGATGCTTTTAAAATATCCATCTAATTGAACCTACTGACCCTTGAAAATTTCCAGAGTGACTGCTATGCCTGCTCTGGAATACTTCTGGACAAGGACATTAATTATGCATTCTATTTTTATGCAAAAGCTCACATAGACCAATACACACAGTTAAAGTAAAAGCACACGTTTTATCATCATGGTGTGATCCAGTTAGATGTTTTGTTTTTCTATCACAGGGCATCCACTGCTGCTGAGTCCATTGGCAAATTTAGAGAATCTGTTTTGAAATTCAGATTTGAAAACCTAGCAAACCAAACAGGCCTATCAATGTTGCCATTTCAGAGAGAGCTGCTTAACTCTCTACATGGCAACAATCTGTTTTGCTTTGTTTTCTTGTTATTTTCTTAGACATCTACTAAGGCCTTTGGATTTACTTCAGGATGGTAATCAATACACCCAAAATGCCCACCCAAAAATCTGGTATAAAACAACAACTCAACTTCTACAGTTCATTAAGAAGTAATCCTGCCCTCCCTAGCCCCTGCCACTAAAAATCTACAAGACTTATTCCCCAAATCTTGAATGAATGAAAATGAACGGAAAAGAAGTATAAGATAGGAGATCAGTAATATTACAACTCACACACCATTTTAATGTGTTCAAGAGATTTGGGTTTAATAAAGACTTACCTTTTTTTTTTTTTGTTTTCCTTTCTGGTTACAGTTGAAATGAATAGTCAGGTTGACAGTGTAAATGACCCAACAGAGAGTCAGCAAGAAGATTAACTAATAGGTAAGTTGCCCCTGTAGTGGGATTTTCAATTGATTAAACCAGCCATGGGAAGTGTTTGTAAATGGCATATTGGATTTCCCTCGGTTCTGCCAAGTCCCACAGTGTGGCTCAAGCTAAACTTTAGAAATCCTTATACCAAATGACACAGTGGAAGGAGCCAAGATAACCCCAAGAAACCTACAATCCTTTGAGGGGAAAAGATAAGCCACAGCATATTCAGATGTGCATTTCCCTGGTTTTCTGAGTTTTGACAACAGGAGAAAAATGTTTCCATCCATCTAACCTCCTGGACTCCTGGAGGGATGAAATTATTTCAGCAACCACAAGCTGATTCTGAAGCATTGCTTTTCTAGAAGCTACCTGCTGTGTTGTTTAGTACATCTGTTTTTAAATCTCTACCCTAGAGAATGTGGAAAGGCACTTGGTGTGTTGAGGCAGAAAGAAGCCTGACTTGTGTCCTATGCTGTCACACCATGACCTATGGACCTGTGTGTCTGAACAGGGTTTGTTGAGTTAAATGAGCCTTAGGGAACTCCCCAAGAAAATCATAGGCTGGGGTCAGATCACGTTTTTCCAAACCAACATTCTAAATCTCTTAGCAGAGACTGAAATTTATCTAAAATGAGGAATAGTCTATACCCCTTTCCATATCTTGAGGGCTGGTGAGAAGCATTAGAGAAGTCATGCTCACTATTCTGATTCTTAGCTGAAAATACTAACTGGGAAACATCCTAACTGGGACCCACCACATCAATGGTGGGTCATCCAGTATAAAACACAATTGTGCTAGCACCATTGCCTCTCAGGACCTTCTTGCACTCCCTCCATCTTCGTGGTAGGTCTCTGTACTCACCCAGAAGGCCATGTTGCACCAGACTCTTGAGTTCCAGCATCACAGCAGAACAAAGTTTGAAAATATATGAAAGTAGACAACTGTCCTTCCTATCATAGTCTTGAACATCATTTAAAACTTAAATATAATAGCATTTGTGTAACACACATATAACATAGGACTCCTAAAAGAAATAAAACTCACACAAATACGGTCTTATAAACATTTCTTTTTTTTTTTTTTTCTAAACCTTGTTCATGTATTTAGAATTATCCTGCTAAGCTGCAGAAATGATATGGTAGAGAAGTTTCCATTAAAAAGTAATGAAGTGAGACTAAACCTGAACAATTTAAATGCAAGTTCCTCAGTGTTGCCTTACCTTCTGCCCTTTGTTGCCAACAAACTATAGACTTCTTGTCTAGAATTTTTCTAACAGATACTATGATTTTCCTGTGTGATCAATATCTAAATAAAGTACCCAGATAAATATTTCCATGGTTAATGTCAAAGTATTTTCCTTGATCATAAACACGAATACCTTTACCCAAATGAATATGTTGTCAAAACTTAAAAGTTCAAGATTAGTTTGAGGAAACTCAATTCCAGGAAGGAGAAATGACTGGGTCACTTGGATGATCAATGGAAATTCAAACACTCCCAGGACAAAATTATTTGCTGACACCATACTGCTCCCTAAACAATAGTGAGTTGTAGTGACAAACCCAGTTGTCACAGAGAACAATATGACCCAAGGAACTTTAGTGATTCCCACAGAAATATTTACACAGCTGAATTTGTAGAGGTTATGTGGTAGTTCAAAAGAAGGAACCTTTAGTTCTGTGCATCACACCTTAAAGGAAATTAAAGAAATACAGTGAAAACAAATTAGAATTACAAAGTTCCAAGATATAAAGCAAGAAAATTTAGTGTTATATAATTTATAATTGTAAAAAATTGGTAATCATAAATGACAAAAGGGAATGACTCAGTGAGTTAACAGAACACTCTACAAATGTTAAATTAATTTCTTAACAAGTATCTGACGTCATGTGAAGGTAGTTTAGAGAAACATGGTTCTAGAGAAACATGGCAGTCCAATTGTGGCGGTTACCAAGGTACACTTTAAGAGGCTCTGTAACTTCCATTTTTACATTCTCAGAATGCTTGCTTTTGGAATCCAACCATTCTGTAAGAAGCTCACCTCTACTATAGAATGAGGAAGACTCCATGGAGAGAGATTCTGGAAACTGAGAGGCCATTTTGGGTGTTTTGGTCCCAGTGAATACCACCTTACCACCTGGAGCAGATAAACTGCCCAGCTGACTCTAAGCCTATAGGAACATGAAAAATGATAAACCATTTTGTTTTCAGCCACTAAGTTTTAGGATGGTTTGTGATGTAGCAACAGGTAACTGGAAAGGTGGGGTTTTGTAGAATATCTCCCAATATAAATGTTTAGAAAGAGAGATAAATTATAATAAAGAAATGTTTAAATACACAGCTCAACTGACATGAAAGCAAAGGTGTCAGAAATAAAGAAGAATTTGAAAGCCAAAGCAGTAGTGTAGTGAGTTGAACATGCAGTAACCCTAAGAGCTGCTGATTGGTCATGGATACAGAGATAAGCCCTATGGCTAGATCCTTGCATTCTAATGCCCACCTGGGACCTAGAGCCATTCAAGGGGAGATATGAAAACTGATACATTTACATAGATAAGTCTGGGATTCCCAGCTGAAGATGTTAACAGGGAGACTTCTGTCTGCCCAGAGTGCGGTGAGGGGAAGGAAGAAGGCTCCTATGATAGCTAGAAAACACAAACGTACCATGAATTTGAAATGCAAACTTATGCCACCCACAGTCAGACAGCAATACGCAGACTGTATATTTAATAGTTGATTAGAAACCAGTATCATTCCTGCTCTAGATAACAAATGGAAAAGTAAACCTATCACTTGGAATTCCCATGGAAGAAAAAAATTCTCTGAAGATGAATTCACAATTTTAAGACTTACAAAAACACACGATGAAGTGATCTACCATGAGTGAAACTCAATGGGTGGAATGACATGATGTAATTAGCATTATGAAAACGAGAGAGTAGAAAATTCTGAAGATTTTATAAGTACATTTAAAAGAAAATAAAGATAAAAAGCACATATAAAACTGTAAGAAAAGGGTAACACTATGAAAAATTAAGAACAATTTGAAAAAAGCCAATAAACATGTAGTGATATGAATGACACATGAGGAGACATGGGGGCAGGAAGGAGAATGATCAATGTGTTTGTCTTCAGTACATATTCTAAAAGGAGATAGTAGATAGTATTTGAAAGATAATTTCTGAGAATTTATCAGAAATTGATAGAAGTCCGTGAGTTGTTTTTTTTTTTTTAACATTTTATTTTTTTATTTGACAGAGAGAGATCACAAGTAGGCAGAGAGGCAGGCAGAGAGAGAGGAGGAAGCAGGCTCTCCACAGAGCAGAGAGCCCGATGCGGGGCTCGATCCCAGGACCCTGGGATCATGACCTGAGCCGAAGGCAGAGGCTTTAACCCACTGAGCCACCCAGGTGCCCCTTTTAAAAAAAAAAAAAAAATTATTTATTTAAAAGTCCATGAGTTTTTAAGTTAAAAGAAGAATAATAAGTCACAAGACAGACATGTTTAAAATAAACCCAACACAAGCATTGCAGAACACTAGAGAGAATGAGAAAAAAAAAAAAAAAAAAAAAGGGAAACAATTAAAGGAAAAGGAGAGTTAACCTACAAAGAAATAAGTATGGCATAGACAGCAGGCTTCCCAACATCTAGAATTTGGTTCAGGAGACAGTGGAATAATTCTGAGTGTTCAAACATGAATAAAAACAATTGTCAGTATAGAGTTCTATAGTCAAGTTTCACTATCATTTAAGAAGATAAAAACTGCCATTTTTCAGGAAAAAAAGAAAAGTTTGTTCTTCACATACCCTTTCTTTAAAAGCTACTAAAGGATGCACAATAGTAAGAAGAAAACTGAATCCAGAGGAAAGTGGTAAGGTGCAGGAAACAACTGTAAGCCAAGGAAAATGATAAACACAAAGGCAAATAAAAATATATTTTGATTATAAATTTATAATAGTAATTAGTGGGTGGCTAAAAACAGGGTAAAACAAAATTACTACTTATGTGCTATTTATAATACACAAAGTAATACTAAATACTTTCTATTATGCGTGTTATTTGTGAATATATATTTGTGTAAAAATATAAAAACATGCAAGATGATCCACACTTATCAGGGTTTGGTAATCTCTGGGAAGGAAGAGAAATAGTTTTAACCCATCGATAAATTAAATTAATTTATTTGTAAATACTTTAATTTACCTATAGTCTTTTATTTTTGAAAAGTGAAAGATCTCAAGGAAATTTGAAAAATATTAGCACTTAGGGAATATATCCTAGGTATGTTATACTGTTTGTAGTTTTCTTTTTGTTTGCAATTTTCATTTTTAAAATTAAAATTTATAATTGTATATCTATGTATAAGAGATTCAGAAAAATACCATAAAGAAATATTCCATAATATTAACTGCAGAAGTTATCAACAATGGAGGGAGTACGTAGGATTTTTTTTCTTCTCATCTACTTTTGTCTATTTTAAATAGACACACACACACACACACCTCAAAGAGTACTTTAAAGATTCATAGGAACACCAGAGAGAAAATTAACTCGGAGATCATCTGCTTCAGTTCTTCCGTTTAGACACGTAGTAATTTATATGGTGATAGAAATCAGATCAGTTGCTTGTTCCAGCAGGAGCTAATAGTTGGAAGGTGAACTTTTGAGGTAATGGCAATGTTTTATATCTTGATAGTGGTGTGGGTTAAATGAATGCCTTTGTTTATACAGACTGAGGTAGGCTTAAGATCTGTGTATTTCCTTCTATGTGGATTATACCACATCTTCTAAAATCTAAAAAGATAAAGACTATCTAAGACACAGTGTCTTCTCCCAAGTGGGGAACACAGCAGAGACTTAATAAAACCTCAAAGTGGTGGGACAGCCATCAATGACTTCAGCAGGTCAGCATTATGCAAATTGTCACCATTATTCCTGTGTCGAGCCCTGGAAACCAGTGTGTGTGAACGGACCCTAGAAAGGAGGACTCATCAATCCAAGATTAGGTATTTCAAAGAATACTTTGAAGAGTTGAGTTAATCACCCCATCAGTGGAAACAAGTCATCAACGTAGCATACATTTATTAGCTGTGATTTATGTGCTCTTTAAAGATACCCTGTGCAAGCAATTACAGCTCCAGTATCCAAAGTTCTTTGATAGTCAGAGAAGATATTCCTAGGCTTGTTTGAGGGGTACAAAACATTTAAATGACTGTGTTAAAAAGATATTCCTTGTTAAATCTACGAAATCTGTGATCTTTCATCTAACAAATGGTTTCTCCTTGTCTTTGCCAGGGGCACAAGATGAAGCAAAGGAACAAAGAAATGGAAGTCAACCGTGGTCCTAGGCATTGCAGGCCTCTCCTGGCCCTTGGGGGGTGGGTGTAAGAAGACAGGAGTGCAAGCTGTGGAGGAGAGGGGTGTTGGGGGGGGCAAGTCCCACGGAAGGACAGGGAATCCTTTGCTCTAATTGCTCCAGCTGCATTATGTTCTATTTACCTGCAGAAAAAAAGAAAGAAAAAAAAAAAAAGAAAAAAAGAAAAAAAAGTTTCCTTGAACTTGGCAAAGGGCCCCACGTCAATGTGTCTTTCAGGCACTATCCCTGTAATTTCTTTTTTTTTCTCTTTAGCGACTTTTCCCAGGGTCACAGTGGCACAGTTTAACACTCACAGGTGTATCCTGGTCCCTGTCTGCTTTCTTGATTATGTCACAAAGCTGGTCGATGCAGTGGTTTCTTCAAAGAAAGAGAAGATGATTGTTGGTACACTGCAGGCTAAATTTCAGGAATCCTCAAGCCCAAGATCAGTATAATCCACAAAGGAGGCAGGAGAGAAAATGGGCAAAATGCTCAGAAATCACTTGGAAAAAGGTCAGGGCAATGAATTGAAAATGGCATTATATTCAGGGATTCCCAAGGTACAATTCTGTTCCATGTGGTTAATGAAGAACGTGGAAGGAGGATTTCATCCAGGGCAGAATGTAGAGGCGTTACCCTGAAGGCACGGCCCCCCTACAGCCAGCGGGGGCTTTCCCTTCCCAGCCAGGACTGCAGGTGCATTCTTTGACCCTGACCTTTGCAGATCTCCCCAGGTTCATGAGGTCTTTACTGTGTGCTTCTGCATAGAGCCCACCGAGTGAGATGTGACTCTTTGGGACACAGTTTGGAAGGGATGACACTCTTCGAGGTGTTTTAGTTGAGAGAGGGGGGCTGCTGCATTTAGAATCCAAACATATGTCTATGAATATTAAAAGTTCTACTTGAAATCTCTTGTTATATATACACTTTTCATAAAAGAGCCTCTTGTCTTTACCCAAGGTTTGAGGGCCCACAGATAGATTCTCATTTGAAGTTAGAGGCAATTGGAGGTCTTGCTTGCAGTTCTGGCTTGCTTTTAAATAGTCTGCTTTGTTCATGCCAAATCCAAAACTACTTTGATAGCCTGTCCCCACTCCTAGAAATCCCTTGATTATGGCCTTGAAGGGGAGCAGCAGCATTACTAAGCCAAGATTCCAGTGGTACAATGGGCACAGGGGATGAGCGGCCAAGGAGGAAGTCAGAAGTTGTCACAGATGTCTATCCCAGAGATGACATCAATAGTGACCCACACGAGGCAAGATGCCTGCTTCCCACAGCTTCCCTAGGTTCTAAGAACAGTCTATTTTTTTCTGAGGAAACTGATATTGCTTCTTGCATATCTCGTCAAATCCACCTTCCTTAAAAGGTCTTTAGAACTGTGAGTTATTTATATATATAAATATATAAATATATTTTTTAGTGGAGGGAGAACAGTAATAGATCAAATTGGGTATTTCTAAAATCAAAGGGCGTTCTGTTTTCTAAATATTCCATGGACTTCTTCAGTTTTGCTCTTTCCTCTATGGAAAATCCACCTTCTTCTCTTTCTATGAATTTTGTTTCAGCCCTTTTGGAATTTGTTGCCCCTCTGGATGGCTTCTTTGATATATTAGAATCATTAGCAAGTTAGATTTCTGCATATGTGGTATGTTCTAACATCCTGTATTTCAAAAAAAAGAAAGAAAGGAAGGAAGGAAGGAAGAAAACAACTGCTTATCAACCTAACAGCAATGATTTTTAAGGGACCTCATGATTTTGGAACATGGCCATTTCTCTTTCTGCTGTCATTTTACAGTTCGGTATAGAAATGTATATGTCTCCTATTGCCATGAAACATGGCTTTCTAGAAAAACAAGGGAAAGTCCCATTTTAAGTGATCCATGAAATGATGCCATACACATCCTGAGAGTTTCTGTATTTTTTGTCATCCTTATAACTTAATTGAAAGTTGCCGTCACTCTGTGAAGGACTGGACAAGGAGTGCTAAGAGCACATTTTCCAGGGACTCCCACATGTTAGTGCTACTCATGCCCAGGAATGAGTTACAGCTGAAAACAACATGACGGAGACAAGCGGGGTGGGGACTACTTAATGGACAATGATGAAAAAAAACCAACGTCCCCATTAGGACCCGTGAGGACTGGAATTATTTCATTCAGGGTGTTCTCTTTATCATCCACGACAGCCATTTTTATTCCTTCATTTTAAATGCGGGTAGGGTAGGAATAGGGTAGGGAGTTCTCTGCATGAGAACTTCAGGAAAAGGAAAGAAATCTTTGAGATCAAAATGAAGAAAATGAGGCATCAGTCTCCTAGCCCCACTCCTTAATTTGTTTAAACTTTATAATTACATTGGGTTTTCATTTTTGCCTTGTTATGCCTTTTGGTTGCTATTTGGTTATGAGATTTTATCCTTAAACAATGAAGTCACTTTGCATTTCAATAGTAAGAGATTAAAAATCTACCTGTTGGCCAGATGGAGGACACCTCAACACAGGAAACCCTTTTTTCCCTGGCACTGTCATTGAACAGGCTATACAGTGGAAAATTTGAAAGGCAGATTGCTTGTCCTGCACATGAATCCTGGATGTCAATTTCCAACCACACCCCTGCCAGGCTATGTGGCATGACTGTGAGGGAGAGGGGGAGAAAGATAACCCAATATTAGTCATGTTTGCATACAGAGGATCAAAGTAGGCTCTCAACATAATACAGATGTCCCTGCTTTTTGATATTGCATTATGCCACTTTGCTTTTATGAAAGACCTACATTAGTACCTGCTACCGTTCACCTAAAGAAATCCCCGAAGAGAGCTTTTGCTTTTATAAAAACTGCAAGCAGGGAGAACGGCCCCGCCGAGCTCCTTCCCTGGGAATGCACTCAGCGTCTCAGCATCAAGCCACCATAGCTTTGACCTGCATCTGTGAACATCTGTGCTTTATCTCATTTTATTTTGTGCATCCATTAGCAAGATGTGCCCTATGGTATCAGAAGAGAGTCTGGGAAGACTCAAAAAATATTTCCATATAAATGAATGGTAATAGTTTCTTTGCTTTACCCTATTTCGGCTTAAGGACAGGTTTCATAGGAACACTACTTGCCCATAGCAGGGGGAACCTGTAGTCCTAATTAGAAAGGTAGTTGTGAGAGAGACAAAGGGGCTTTTCCTCCAGTTAGTAACTATTCAGATGATGGACAAGTCTTCTTTCATAAAAGTTTACAAAGGAGGCATCCAAAATACTGTATGTGATAGTGGGTCACATATTTGCCACCGCAGCTAATTGTAAATCTTTCTATGAAATACTGAAAAGCCTCTTTGTGAATTAATACAGTTCTGCTTGATGCACTTGATTTGAAATGACTTTTCTCTGTATGTGGTGCATGTCAGCTTTGCTTTGAAAAATAACAAAGTTAGCAGAATACGTTCAATATATTTTCTTGGGGAATAGGGTTTTTATCATATGATTCATTAAGGATTTGCCTTACCCTGACATTTGTGATATAAAGGAAAATCAGAAAAAAAAAAGTAATTTTCTTGATCAAGATATGTTTTTACTTAATGCAAATAAATGTAGTCTGTTGCTTGCAAGGGGAAAAAAAATGTCTTCTGATATCTGGTATAAACTGCTAAATAGAATAATACGTGCCTCTTTTGTTAAACCGGCATTTAAATGCTGGACTGCTTCGAAATCTGTTTGTTTCTTTTCATCTGTGCCATACACTAAGAAACTTAAACAACTGTTGCCTTCGTACTATATTTGTTAGAACAGAATATGAATAAAATTGGTTTGAGAGGATAAGGTGGAATTATTTGTGTCTTGTAATTTTTGTTTCCTCAGGTAAATGACTAATAACTCAAACTGTTCTTTTTTTTTTTTTTAAGATTTTATTTATTTATTTGACAGAGATCACAAGTAGGCAGAGAGGCAGGCAGAGAGAGAGAGGAAGAAGTAGGCTCCCTGCTGAGCAAGGAGCCCGATTCGAGGCTCGATCCCAGGACGCTGGGATCATGACCTGAGCTGAAAGCAGAGGCTTTAACCCACTGAGCCACACAGGTGCCCTCAAACTGTTCTTTTAATACGATGTATTGGTGGCAAATTGTGTATTTAAAATTGTCCCTTTAAGGCAACTTGAACTTACCAATAGTTGTCCCTTACTGAGACTGGTCAGTGTTGTGGCCATGTTTTTCAAAATTAGGGGTGCCTGGGTGGCTCAGTCAGTTGAGCATTGGTCTCTTGGCTTCTGCTCTGGTCATGATCTCAGGGTCATGAGATCGAGGCCCATGTGGGTCTCTGCACTCAGCCCCAAGTCTACTTGAGGTTCTCTCTCTCTCTCTCTGCCACTCACATGCTCTCTCTTTCTCTTTAAATACATAAATAAAAGCTCTTTAAAAATTAAACTATAACATAGTTTGTACAGACACATGTCCCAATGTATATTTTTTTTCCTCAGAATGCTACTAGATAGCTAATTACCCTAGCAATAGCCTCTGAGGAGCAAGAAGTTGTTGAAGTAGAAGTTGTTGAGATGAAGATCATGATTCCATGAACATTGGTTCATCCTTCAGAACCCACTCTCCATTACTGGAATTCTTTCTGAGAACCTTTTATGAGCCAGCCACTGGGCTGGCTATGGGATCACTACATCCATGATCCTCAGTCTGTTGTTGAGGGACTTACGATGGAATTACACAATTGTTAAAGAGCTTGGCCATGGATCAACCAAAATCACTATGGGAAAAACTCAGTGTTCTTTTGAAAATGGAAATATGTATTCCATCAAATTCCCTCCATCTCCTTCAGAAGAGATGCTTTCAGTTTTACTGTCCTAGAAGGTAATAATGAAAGTCCATCCCTTTACCCAACAAAGGTAGAGATTTAATAGTTAAAAGAAAATATGGTTTTTAAAACTGCTTTACCAGAGGGCATTTTCCCAATAATAAATGAAGTTCGATGAGGAAAAAATTATGGCCTTATGCCGCAATGGGCAACCTCAACACAAATGCCTCAGAGTGACTGCAAAGATAATTTGACATGATTCTAGCATTGCCAGGTGCAGTTTTTTATCTACATTGAATTTTCCATCTCTCGGCCTGTCACTCTAGTATTTCTCCCCTACTACTCCTGCCCCTGTGCCTTACATCATTCAAAGTTGCCATTAAACATTGCTCAACTTTACTGATGGTCCTTGGGACAAAAAGGGACAATGATAACCATGGACATTGTTCTGACCAGGACCCCCGCCCAGCTGTGGGCCTTTGAGAAACGAAATGCCTCCCTTTCTTCTTGGTTTGGCAGATGGAAATATTCACACATTACTGAACTCTCTTACAAATTTAAACATAAAGTGCCAAGATATACTTTGCCACTTGGTAAATTATTAGCATTCAATCCTGCTATTTGATACTATAGGCAAATGGCCTTTTCTTGAGCTCAAGACTCTTTACCAAGATTAAATAATCCCTACAATTGGGAAGTAAATATGAAATCCTTTCTACTGAAGTTGATTTAAATTTTGCCCTTAAATTAAGGACCCCTGAGAACAATAAAGAATCATTTTATAAAATTGTTAAAGTTGTCAAGTTGTTAAAACATGTACACACAAAATACTGACCTAGTGTAAATTTTCACATAACCATTTTTCTGGTAATAGCTAAAGCAGATCTATGAATAAAGAAGAAAGGAAATACAACTCAACTTTTGGTTAACATGCATAGAAGGATAGAGATTTACAAGGAGATAATTATACCAATATATACTTTCCTTCCGTGGGGGGAGGGTATATTTCCTCTGACACTGGACTTGACAATATAATGTGCTTTGACCAATGATATGTGGGCAGAAAAAGCATGTGTCACTTCAGGCAGAAGTTTGAAGACTCATGCTCTTTTTTCTCCTCTAGCACAATGACCAGCAACATCCCAGATGGGCTGCTCTATCAATGAAGAGCCCAATGTGAAAAACGTGAAGATGAGTTTCAGGCAAGCCCAACTGAGAAGGTGACATGAATGAGAACTAAACCCATACTTTATAGTTGCCATTTGTTACCCTAGTATAACCTAGCCTATACTACACATGTAAATAACAATTTCACAGATCTATATGATCTGCTTTTCTAACCCCATCATGTGGAACGTTCAGCTTGGCGCACAATGCTGCCAGCACACTGGCCTTCTGCCCATTCCTAGAATAGGCCAAATTCTCTCCAGGCTCAAGGCCTTTGACCTTGAAAGCTCTTCCTGTTCTCACTTGGCTGCTACCTTGTTATCCTTGAGATCTCAGCTGCAATGTCACTTCTAGAGATGTCTTGTGTTTATCTACCTAACACCATATTTGCTACTTCAGAAAACTTACAATAATTTGAAATTGTTTATTTGTTTACAAGGCAGGATTAAAAATTTATATGACTCATCTCAGATGTGCAAAATAATGTAGCTTTTTTTCCTCCCACTAACTGAGCTTGCCCTGTTTCCAAACCTCTGTTTAGAGGGGAATGTGGGAAAAGAATTTAATCTATCAGTTATAGGTATCAGGTTTTCTAGTTTAAAATACAAATTAAGGATAATGATTTGGTCATATCCAAGGTTTAAACTCTCCACTGAGGCTATTTCTTGCCAGTTAAATTATTATGCCCCCTCCCTTAGATAAAGGCCTAATTTTCTAATCACTGTGCAATA